GCGACATCAAACGTTGAATTACTAGGTCACCCGCCGTATAGCCCCGACCTCGCGCCTTGTGATTTTTATTTATTTCCAAAAATTAAAGAAAAACTTAAAAGAAAGCGGTTTATGAATGCTGAAGAAGCGGTGGCTGCGTATCGCGATGCCATTGAAGAGACCCCTAAGGACGAGTGGGCAAAGTGCTTTTCCCAGTGGTTCCATCGCATGCAGCGGTGTATTGACGTGAATGGACAATATTTTGAAAAGATAAAATAAAACTAATAACTGGCTAATGTAATCAGTTTTTGATTTTCTAAGAACTTTCAGTTTGACCCTCGTATCCTTAGTCAAAATTGTTGAAATTAGAATATATTCATTCATTGGAATGACTTAGAGTTACATTTCTATGCGCCATTTTTAAATATTTATTAATCCATTCATTATTAATTAATTATAGAGGGACGACGAATTTGATATAACGAAAAACTATCTTTGCATCGTTCCTGGACTTGAAGGGCACTATGAGAAATTCAGAGATGTCTGTGAGCGTGTGAAGATTCCGGCACTAGTTCTTCAGCCTGCACTGAATGCTCCTAACGAAAGCATCAAGCAAATGGCCGTAAGACATGCTCAGGTAAAATAATCATAATTAAATAATGACCAATGATTATATTATGATATTACCTAACTTTCGACTTTACCAACAATGTATTAGAAGAAAGACATATTTTTAATAATTTATTACACAGGACGAACGATATAAAAACACACTCAAAGGAGCAATTTTAGAACATGATATATCATTAAATGTAGATTGTACCTTACTATGAAAGTCAAAAGATAAAGTCTTTTAAAAGCTAATAGTTTTTTGGATCATACTCTTTGTTATGCGTTTTTTTAGGTCTGTCGGCTAAACACTTTACAAAATACATTAAAGTACTTTTCGGAAACTATCAAAACTCGTACTAGAAGTGCTGATATTTGCTATATTTTATAAATACGTTTGTGATGTTTTTAAACATTTATTATTTTTATTTTCAGACCCTCGTCAAGAAGATTTCTGTAAAAGATAATTTCTATTTATTAGGATTTGAGAGTGGTGTAATGGTCACACTGGAAACTGCAGCCATCTTAGAAGAATATGGTGAGATTATGTTTGAGCGTTAATTTAACAAATTACTAGTAACTCTTTTATTGTTGGTAATCCTTTTATAATAATTATAGTTTGCTATCTTAGTTTCATCCAAATCTTTCTTTTACAGGACTATCTGGCACCATATACTTAATAGGTACATCTCCGGAACAATTTAAAACTATTCTTAAAATGGAGCTCCAAAAATATGAATCCGATGAAGACCTGCAAATGGCTGTTCTTGAGCATATGTACAAACTGATGTGTGGTGCGGAACTCAGTCTGGACTTTGACGAAACATTGGAATGGAACGAACGAATCGAGTTATGTGTTAGGGATTTACTTCAACGCGTTTCATTGTCAGCACAATACTCAAAGCTGAATCTGGTGATGCCTTACTATCGTATCAAGCAAGCGTTGCAATACGAACCTCAGCTGCCACCTCTTAAATCCAAAATTGTATTGCTCCTTCCGAACAGTTCTGGTAATGATGCAGCTTGTGAAGAGCTACAGAAGTACAGCAAACAGCCGCTTGTTGTTCACAATTTAACTCTTCCTCTTGCTCAAGCGCTGCAGGATTTGCGTTGCGCTACCTACATCAATCAACATTTAGACGATTCTGTTCTAGAGGAGTACAATACGAAGAATCACTGCGAAACCTACCTTCTGTGCGCAGACACGTTTCAAACTCCCAATTCTCAGGATATTGAGGGATGATTATTATTTATTAAGATTTTTAATATACCTATGCAGCGTAATTTATTATAATTTAAAAACAATTATAGATTTCATTAATTTAATATTTGGGTCATGATGGTCGAGCACTCTTTGGTGTCTCTTTTCATAATTTCTCTTTGAAATACCTACTACCAAAGCAGGTGCTACTTTTAATCGGAACGACGAATAATAACTACTAATCGAATTTGCAAAATGGCATACCTACTTTAAGGACCCATGTTGGCACCTGTACTAACAGGACTATAAGTGTAAAAGATCGTTAATGAGATGTTCAAAGCAGCCTTCACCTTTATTTCAATCTATCAACAAAATGGGTACCTAACTACATTATAAAATAAATATTTTATTCAGTTTCATACAAAATCACGAAGGATAATTTTTTTTAGAAACGTAGTTTCTAAGTCGAATAAATCACTGACCAATAAATGCTTTGATGTTAATATTATAGAACTATAAATATAAATATGTATTTTTTATTCTTCCCTCAAAATTATTCCTGTTATTCAGACCAAAAATACTAAAAAAGTAGTTATTCTTAATGAAAAATGCTTAAAATTAAAATCCACTTTGTCCCTGGCACTCTGAGATGGGACTCGTAACCTCGTACTTTCGCAATCCGGTCGACTGCTCGAACCACTAAGTTACCCCGAAGCTAACAAGACTGACACTTATTACTTTTTCCCTGCTACAGAGCGTGTTTTCATCAATGTTCAGGCAATCCGCCCAACAGCTGAAAGAAAGATGAAAATTAGCTGTAATTATTATATTTGGTAAATTTTGCATTCACAATTTTTAATATTTTTCAGTATAGCATTGAGAATGAATAATTATCCAAATATAATAAAAATATTATAATTGTAGTTAATAAATAGTGCCATGGTTTCGGCAGTGGAAAAATAACTCACGAAATTGCACAAAAACTAACGTCGTAATAAATATAGAGATTCTGATATTGAGTCTTCTTCTTCTTAACTTTAATGGCACTTTGCGTCACCACATTACTGCCAACTTCACGTAGGAGACCATTACACGATTTAAATACATTCATTCAACAAAACAATTTTGAATTACCAATTCTATTTTTCCACATAGATTTACCAAAAACAACTTAATATGTTAATTTAGAGTCTTAAAATCGCGCGATAATATTATTATCATAAAATTAAAAGTCGTGTCCACAAAGGTCGTGTTTTTTAGTATGTGTGTTATGTGACTTGAAATACGACCTTTTATGACGATACTCTTTTAACACGACTGTGGCGACTGCTGTCCGATTAGTCATAAAGATATGCCTTGCCTACCACAAAGTACATATTATAAAACTAAGTCCCTCGCCGCTTCTGTCTGTCTGTTTGTTCGCGATAAACTCAAAAAGTACTGGACGGTTTTTCATGCGGTTTTCAACAATAAATAGAGTAATTCTTGAGGAAGGTTTTAACGTATAGTAAGTTAAGGTTTTGTACAAACTGACGATATTACAACGATAGAAATTCAATATGTTGGAAAGAATAGAGCTGATCGGAAGCTTTCCTCGAAAACGCTGCCTAAAACTTTTGAGTTATAACAAAACATTGTATGGTGGAACTGTGCCTCTTTAATGGATCTACAAAAAAGTCCACGGTGGTACCTCTATGCGTATATTCCAAGGATAACCCACAATAAATATTTTTATAAGTATACTTAAAACAGTAAAATAATGGTTTATTTACGAACAATTATATTTTTTATATGTTCCAAGGTTCATGACACGGTTTGTACGAAGTACGGTTGGTACGGAGTTCGCCGGTTTAGCTAGTTAATTATAAATCAAATTCCTAGATGGCGCTGCTCTTAGCTTCTTCATCATCATCATCATCAGCCCTTTTACGTTCCCACTGCAGCGGCTCAGGCCTTCCTTATGGATGGTTAAGGAGGATGGTCCATGACCCTCCACGCTGGCCCAATGCGGTTTGCAGGATATTAACGACTGCAAATACAGCCGGGACCAACGGCTTAACGTTTCCGAAGCACGGAGTAGCTCGAGATAATAATTTTTGGTCACCCATCCCGTGACCAACTCTTGCGAAAGTTGCTTAACGACAACGATCGTGGGTCGCGGCACTTATCCACTACGCCACCGAGCTTATTTGTATCTTTATATTTCGTAATATATCGTTAGATGGCGTTGTTCTTATTTTATTGTCTTTTTTTTTATCTTTATGCATCACAATGACAACATGAATATGACTGACAACGTTTTAGCGGGTATAAAAAAAAGTTAAAAATTTAGTTTTAATGCGAGCAAAGGTGTTTATTTCCCCGAAATATTTTTTATGTTTTTTTTATTAAAATAAACAGTTATAAGTATTATCTCAAACAGAGAAAAAATAACTTATTTATATGCCTGCAAAAACTCTACCCGACATATTCATGACGTCATTATATGTAGGTACACAAAACAGATGCATAGAGTGGAAGATTGAAAAAATCTAATTTTTTAATATTACCAAAATATTATATCTAAACAGTATACCTCAATAATGTTAAAGAACTGTAAATAATTTTTAGAAACAATTATTTTCAATTCGGTTAAGTACCTAAATAAATTCCATTGAAAATATGTTTTACTTGCTACCCTATAAACCACATTATAATGAGGAAGTATGTATTTTAAAAAGAAGCTCTAAAAAGCACCTCCACTAGATGGAGACTCTAGCAAAAATTGTTTTTTTGCAGAAAACGAATGGACCAAAGAGTTATATCCGTTCTTTTTGACTAACATCTAAAAAAACTGAAATTTGCAAAGTTCGAAACTTAGATATGAATACAAATACGAAAAAGTACAAACATAATATGAGTTGTTTATTAAGGATTGAAAACTAATTTACTTTTATGCATGAAGAAAACCGGAAGAGTTTTCATGGAGAAATCAAGAAAGTATCGTAGTGACATCTAGTTTCATTTCGGGAACTAATGTTTAACGTCCTTATAAGGGATATTTAGATATAAAATAAAAGAATCCCTACATATTAAAAATATAGGTAAAAAAATAATAATGCCATCTATAGATAGTATCAACAAACGAAATCGTGCCGTTTTCTAATTTAAATTAAGAGGTTTTCAATAGATGACGCTTATGTTAGCAATGTGATGCTTAAATGTTGGCTTAGGAATATGTATATACTTATTCCTAATTCAATCAATTATGTTGCAAACCAAGTAATAGTTGATAATCTCTGCTCGGCTTAAAGTATAATAATTACAAAAATAAGTTTAGATAAAGCAGGCAGGTAAAGATTGTTGACATAAAATCAATGAAATAACCTAAATAAACCTTACAATTTTATATTTACTTACATTATTAAGGTACTTTTCTATGTAACTAATCTGAAGAATTATATCTCTAATAGGTATATACTCGTAAATATTTTGATTGTGGGTCCTAATTTTAAGGGCCTTATCGAAATAATTTCATTGACTTCACTTTGATGGGTATTTTTATGTTTTAATTAAATTATCAAGGTTAATATTACTCACAGTAAGTTACACCTAAATCAGTCTTGTGTTATTTTACGTTCATAACATTAACATTTCTACGTTTTCTATCCAACCGAAATTTGAATGAATAATTATAATAACCGTTAGTGCTTCAACAGCATTCCGTTATCTGTGACATAATTCGAGCCGGTGATTCCCTTGGCCTTCTCGCTCGCTAAAAACAGAACGAGGTCGGCGACCTCCTCCGGCTCCGACACGCGCTCGAGCGCCGTCCGCGCCGCGAACGCGTCCCAGCTCGCGGGGAACCCGGCGTTCTTTATGATGTCCGTCCGGACCGGGCCCGGGCTTATCGCGTTCACTCGCACGCCGAAAGGGGCCAACTCCGCCGCGGCGCCTCTGGTGAAACGGTTCAGGGCCGCCTTCGAAACGCAGTACGCGTGGAACGGCGGCTTCGGGGCCGACGTCCCGCCTATCGCGGATACGTTGACGACGTTCCCCTTCGTCGCTATCAGATGAGGCGCAGCCAGCGCGGTCAGGTGCACGGCCGCGCGCAGATTGGTGTTCATCACTTCGTCGTACGTGTCCATGATTGTTCCGTCGCTTATGGAGCCGAATTTGGCGATGCCGGCGTTGTTGACCGACACGTCTATCTTGCCGAAGTGTTGAATCGTGGTTTGTACGATGCGTTCGGCGTCGTCGTCGTCGGAGACGTCGGCGTCGAGGACGAGCGGGCGGTGCGGGTGGGGCGCGCACCGGGCGGCCACCGCGGCGAGGTTGCTCTGGTTGCGGCCCACGAGCGCGACGCGGGCGCCCGCGCTACAGAACGCCACCGCCGCAGCGGCCCCGATGCCCGCACTCGACCCGGTCACTATCACCACTTTGTCGGCGAAACTCATCTTTTCTCTCAGAACAGACGCGAGCGAAGGGCTAGCTACTCGTTTGCTCACTAACGCAGTGAATATATGTATTCGCTATACCTATCTACGAGTACCTAGTTTATTTCTCAAATGAAAAACGACGATAACTTATCATAGTCCAAACAGCATCGATAACGACCACGCTAATAGGTACCTTAGATCTTTTATTGCGTCTGAGCGGCTTATATTCAAAAGCGGCGATAGACGTGTATCTAATGTAGTCTGCGGCGTTAGTCGAGCAGCGCCAGAGGGTATTTCTATAATTTCGTGCAAATCGCATGTCCGTGAATTTTTTGGCAAATCATATCACTCTAAAAGCCTAAAAATATTTTTAATCTATAAATAGGTTGTTTGTCTATTTCTGCCACATAGAATTAAAGTTGATCGTGTCGAATTACTAACTGAAAATAATATTTTAGTTGCTTAAATTTCATTACCTTCAGCGTCCTTTTTGTGACGAGTTAGGAAAAACATTTTTTAATAATTATACATCGAGGTTTTTGTTGCTTCTTATTACTTGAAGTACGTCAAGTATAGAATAAGGAATATAAACAATGAAGCATACGTTGTAATAATGTTAATATTTAAACACACTGTGATAAAAACAATTTGTCCGAAAAAATATTCCATTACCTTCAGCCTAGTTTGAAATATCAAAAATCATATTGTATATGCATCGTACCTGGATGGCGCATCTCCCTCCCGCCGATCACTTGCCAGCCAGTCGGCCAGCAATAACGAACGGGACAGGACGTGTGTAAATTTTGACGCTACTGCTAAAAAAGATCGGCAAGTACGTGCTTCAACCAGTTTTGATTTCATTACCTACAGCAGATTGTTCATGTAAGTAGTTATAGTTTTTTTATGGTTTTGGTCTGGAAGCATTTGTTATTTGTATATTCATATTTCTTATTATTATTAAGTACTTAAATCTATTAATTACCGAGCAAGATCAAAAACAGTTTTAAAAATTCATTACTCTCACTTTCATTACCATCAATTTCCTTCAGCTATGAAGGTGACGGTAATGAACTAAAAATGAGGGTAATAATTTTACGTTTATTTATATTTGATATTATCTGTAGTCCTATAAATATGACATACAGAATTGATTGCACTTTTGAAATACCTACTTACAAAGATGATTGAAGTAACTAATGACATTTCAGGGCCTTAAAGCCACCTGTTATTTTAATAACTACTTATTTAGACCATTTTTTAGATACCTCATACCATTTCAAGAAAGAATTTCGTTTATATATTAAATGTCTTTTCACAACGTTTCCTTTTGTCTTGGGTATTAACAGCGTTTTTACAAAAAAAAATATCAAAAATACTATCTAAAACTGAAAGACTTAATGAAAAGTTTGACATTGTTGACATGCATTCAATATTTAAAGAAGGTATTTAGATGCTGTCGGTCAGTTTTAAAAAAAGTCTAATGAACAAGTTATAAAATTAATCTTTCGGCTGCGTTTGTGAGCACCTATTATCTTCTAATAGATTTAATAATTATTGTGATTTCTAACAAATATTATTTTTGTCAGGCACTAGTATGGCTAAAACGAAAACAAAAAAACTCGCGAAGAAAAAGCTGCTCAAGCAAGACTGCATAAAAGAAAAAAGTATGAGGAAATTAAAAACGATGCCGAAAAATACGCAATTCAGAAGGAAAAAGAAAGACAGAGATATTTGAGAAGAAAAGAACAAAACAAAATAAAATCTGTTGCTCAAATGACGCCAAGAGAAAGGAGACTACAAAGAAAAAAATGGAACGAAAACAGTAAGCGTTATTTAGAAAAGAAGAAAAAAGACAGAGTAATACAACAGATGCTGATTGACAATTCACCTCCAACAAGCGATAGAGAAGAAAATATAGATGCTGGGGAAGATCCATTAGAAGGGCCGTCAAACCAATTAGTAGAGGTGCCTAGCGTAAACTGCAAAAAGTGTGAGAAAAAAGATAAATTAATTAAAAGACTGCGCTATGGTTACAAGAAAGAGATAGGTAAACTGAGACAAGAGAAGGAAAAAGTTATTAAAGAAAAGTATGCAATGAGAAAAATTATGATTAGGCAAATAAAAAAACACAGAAAAATACAAGCTAAAGTACCATCAACTGTCGAGAAAGTGGATAATTTGATAAAATCAATAGACGAAGACAAGCGTGAGAAAGTAAAGAAAAAAATATTATTTGGAGAAATCATATCTAACAATTTAAGAGATGGATTTAAAGTTTTAGGCAAGAAAGAAAAACGAGAGTTTAGTGACATAGTCATGAAGGAAAAAGATCGTTTTAAAAAGCACAAGGTTTTAAGTAAAACGAAGAAGTTCACAGTGCGAGATAAAAATAAAATATGTCACAGCAATGAATCAAGCATGGATACAGAGTGTAAAATCAAACAAGACATAGAAAACTTTTTCGAAGACGACTGCAATACTAAAATATCTCCTGATAAAAAAGAATTTATAACACGAAATGGACTAAGAAAACAGAAGCGCTATTTATCAGATACATTAACTAACCTCCATAAAAAGTTCATGTACATCCAAAACAATAATATTGCATATTCTACGTTCTGTAAATATCGACCATTTTGGGTTCTCTATCCGAAAGAATCTGATCGTAACACATGTGCTTGTAAAACACACGTTAATTTTGATTTGTTGGTTAAAAGTCTTAACAAGAAAAAAATCACTACAGAGGCCAATGGGACTGCTATGTTGGAAAGTTTGTGCTGTGACATAAACAATGAAGAATGCTTGAATCGAACATGTGAAGTATGTGGAAACAAAGTAATTAACTATAGAGAATTTAGTAATGGAGAGAAAATAAACTATTATCAGTGGTGCGCAAAAAAAGTAAACCATCATGTAAACGGTCAAGAGAAAGTAAAAATTGTTACCGTAAAAACTCGATTACAGGATTATCCAATAAACGTTGTGAAAAAATTAGAAGATTCTCTGAATTCATACTTTAAGCATTGTACTAACATCGTTGTCCAGTACAAGAATATCAAATCTTTAAAAGCGACAATGACTACTAAGGAGGTTATGCTACACATAGATTTTTCAGAAAATTATTCCGTTAAGTTTAATGAGGAGATACAAAGCTATCATTTCGGCGGCAGTCGATTGCAAATAACATTGCACACTGCGGTAGCTTATTTAATTGATCCAGAAACTGGAATCACGAAGACATACAGCGTTTGCAGTATCAGCAAATGCAACAGACATGACGCCAGTGCCATATGGGCACATCTCATACCGCTACTAGCCTACGTAACAGAAATATCACCTCAGATTGACACAGTACATTTTGTATCTGACAGTCCTTCTAGCCAATATAGGAATCGCTACATTTTCTTCGTTATTAGTCAACTACAACAGGATTTTCCACAGTTAAAATTTGTGACCTGGAACTATTTCGAGGCTGGACACGGCAAAGGAGCGCCTGATGGTCTCGGTGCTGTCCTAAAGAGAACCGCAGATCAAATTGTACGGTTTGGTAATGATATTGGCACGATGGAAGACTTTTTTGAGCTTATTCAAGACAAGGTGAAGAATATCAAACTTCTTACTGTCTCAAAAGAAGATATTGAAGAGAGAAAATTTCCCTCATCGGTTCAAGGATTTCGTGGAACAATGTCTGTGCATCAAGTGCTTTGGTCATATAACAAGCTTCGAACAACATTCCGAAAACTAAGTTGTTTCTTGTGTGAAAATGGTGAAATATGTTCACACGGATACCATCTTGGATTTATGAACGTAACTTGTGTTTATAAAAATATCGATGCTGAACATCTACAAGATTTCGTAAATGAAAACACGTCGAACGATGTCCTTCGAGAATTGACAAATCCTCGAGCTCCTACTACTACTAATCAATTCCAGACTAGATTAACCGCTGAAGCTCCACAAAATATGATGGCTTCTTCAAGTAGATCCAAACATAATAACAAAATCACCATACTCTCTGATGTAAAAGTACATTGGACCAACACTACCTTTATTGGCACTGAAATGAAGAAAACAAGAAATGCAAATTTTCAACTTGATTTCGAAAAGTTTATTTCTAGAAATGTAGAAGAAGTAGCAAAAAATGAACAAGATAAAGAACAAAATAATCCTGATGATATTTCAGAAATTGATAATGTAAAAAATGTACACATAAAGGATAGAAAGGTGAAAAAAAAGTATTTTAACTATTTGGATGAAAGTAGCAGTGGAGAAGAAATATATGAAGAGGACAGAATTCTAAAGAAAAACTCACGTATTTTTTCATTTTTTGATAATTCTGATGAAAGTATTTTTTAATTTACCAAGTCAAAGAATTGATATTTTGCGAATTAAGAGTTTAGTTTTTGTTGTTTGTCATACTTACATATTTTTTTATATTCATAAGAAAGATTATTTCATCTGTTCAGTTTGAAATCCTGTAATATCTTTTAGCGGTATAATATAGGGCTAGCTAGAACTTTAGTGATTTCGAATCAAATGCCAATAATATAACCAAAAAACAGTACAAATATATTTCATTAGTATCTATTTATAAAATTACTTTACTCTTTAATAACAATCATAACTATTAAGTAAAATGAGACTGATTAGAAACTAACTTATTTGATTTGTAATAAGTGACTGTTTTTTTTAAGTAAATAGTTTATTTCCTATAGTTGTTACATTTATGGAAAAAGATACCAAAGTTATTTTTTACTTTTAGGGTTTTATAATTGAAAGATTAAAGATAAATAATTGAATTTGAAGAATTTTGTGAAGTAGTTTATGTTTTGTTTTAATTGGAAGAATTCTATATTATGTTGTTTTTTTTTTAATATAAAATGAATATTCACATAAATAAATTGATAGTAAAATGATTATGTAAAACTAATATATTTTATTTACATCGACATTACGAGCCATTTCGTTTAATTGCCTAGTCTCTGATTTCATTACCAGCAATTTTTTTTCATTACCTTTATCCCCAATTTCATTACCAACTGCACAGTTTTCATTACCATCATATGTATATATTTTAATTAGTCAATATCTATTCATTTAATGCGTATAATTTTGTATAAATCACATGCATATGTTAGATTCTTGATAAAGATTGTTATGAAAGTTGAAAAACGAGTATTTAAAATTTTCTCACAAATCTGTCAGATTTGCACCAAATGATAGAAATACCCCAGAACACAATTTATAGACTACGAAAAAATGGTCACCTTGTAAGGGCGCTTGTGCACTTCACTGAATTTTCAGGGCCGGCGGTCCGATTCTTCCGGTCCGGAATGACATGAAAAACTCGGATGAGTAGCTTGTGCACTTGTCCGTTTTTTTCCTGATCGGAGCGGCGCAGTGTAGGGCAGCTCTCTTTGAAGCTACACGTCACTTACGCTAGGTACGATGAGATTTTTGGAACGTCGGTAATTCCGTTCGAAGACGTAGAAAGGTACCTAAATAATGATCTGATCGTTTTACATAAACCATAATAAATTATGGCAAGACGAAAGCATTTTTTTTACTACTATCGGATGACTACTATCAGATGTAAAAACTTATACCCTTACTAATTTAGGAACAGCATTATTCACATACAATAGCTAAAAATATCTGTGACATTAGAATAAAATTACTGATAATGGTCTAGTACTTGATGTTTAAATTTTTAAACGTGCTATTTTTTTCGAAGTTTTGTAAAAACAACTTTCAGCGATTACAGAGATAGACCAATCGGTCGGCGCCATTTCGTAAACAAATCGAAATTAGTGCCGTGTTAGCGGAGAATTATTATGCTAAATGAACTTTACGAGATCAGTTGACTGTATTATATATAGGCATAATTTTATACGCGTGGTGTAGTTTCTTTGAGCAGAAATATTATTCCCTTAGAATACTTCCTTTTTTTAATTTATTAATGACACAAACATACATTTGAAATTTTATTAAATGCGAAAAAGACATTGAGTGTCACTTAATTACTTTTGTTAATCTTCTGTTTATTCTTTATTATTACTCATGTTGTCAAATATTTATCTATACTTATCAATTGTCTTAAAAAATTTGATAATGACAAATTTCCAGGCAAACTTTCATCCCCTATTTTTCGCGATAAAATGTAGCCTATGTCCTTTCTTAAAGTTAAGTCTATTTACTATATTAATTTCCATTTAGATGGGTTCAGTTGTTTAGGCGTCTAAGCGTAACAACACTTATTTATCTTACCTTAAGCTATCGATACTTTTAATACGATTCTATAATCTAGCTAAGTATCGATACTAGAACCATACGCTGATCAAATTAGAACTATACCGAGTTTGCCAAAGCATATGCAGTGATATATACCAACTATATTAAATCATCATATAAAATATAGCATTTTATAATCAACAATAAATATCGATTATAAGTTTATTGGAAATTAACAATATTGCCGAAATAAATATCGATTCAAATCGATTATTTTTTCCCAAGCCTATTCCTTATGAATTTTCCGGATCTCGGACACAGCAGTGGCACAAGCGTAAACACGTTTTTCATTGCCGCCATCACGGACCTGAAAAAACCGGTCCGGAATAGAGAAAAGTAAAATTCCGGACGGTAAAATTCCTGACAGTGCACAAGCGCGCATTACCTACATATGGCCTGACATATCGGACCTGAAAAAATCGGATCGCCGGACATGAAAATTCAGTGTAGTGCACAAGCGCCCTAACGATGAACATTCACTGACATCATTCCAGCAGCAGCATGACATCTTTTAAACTATGGATGCACTTGAAGCTTATCATTTTAAAAGCGTCAGCGATTTAGATTACCAGGAAACAAAATAAATTACGCTAGGGATTCTCAATAACAAAAATTTGGCAGCACCACCCTCGTCGATTTAGAATTTTTGAAGTTCAACAAAATAGTAAAATTACATATATTCGAAGATAGTCTTTGTGGCACTGCTGAGCTGACGTCAGTCTTCAAAATCTTTCCAGCACGCGTAAACAGCGATGATGATAAAGTTCTAAAGATAATATAGCGCTATATTTACTACTGCTAAGTACAGTATATAGTTCCAAAGTTCAGTCTTTTAAAATATCAAATCATTCACCAGGGTAAAAAAAGGTGGCTTTGACACAGCAAAAGTATAGTGATTAAGTTTAGAATTTGATTAAATTTAAGGATTAAAGTTAAATGTGTAACGTCTACTGATTGTGAATTGTAGTTTGATATGTGTAGCTATGTTTTACCATCGGGAAAGTATAGTATCTGCAGCATTGCAGATAGAACTTGACAGGCGTTACACTGAATTCGATTTATTCAGATTTTATCACGTAACATATTAGTTGCCCTCGAATAACGTGCAAGTATTTGTATTATTACACACCAAAACGCTTCAAGTTGATAATCATGTATTATCTATTCTAATATTAAGATGAAGGATTTGATTTGATTTGCATTGAAAAGGCTCCGTAACTATTGGACTGATTTTTTAAATCCTTCCCCATAGGTACAGGAATAAAACACATTTTTGAGTGTATAAATATCATAAATAAATACTTGAGGCGAGTATTGCTCCTCAAAGTCAAAATAATCTTTATTCAAATAGACTTTTTAAAAGTACTTTTGAATCGCCCAACAGTTTTTCTGATAAGAACGAGCAAGACACTCACCAGCTTCAATAGGAGTAATGACATTCAAAAACATGTCATTACCAGATTAATCTATATATATAAAAAAATGAATCGCAAAATGTGTTGGTAAGCGCATAACTCAACAACGCCTCGACCAATTTGGCCAAATCTTTTTTAAAATGTTCGTTGAAGTTCAAGGATGGTTTTTACGGCGAGAAAAATTAGAATTATTGCTGGAAAAACCCTAAAAATAGCCCTTTTCTTTTTCCCATACAAATGATTTGTAACTAAAACGTAGTCAATTTGAGCTTTATTGCTATGGTATAAAGTTCATATTAAATTACAAGCACTCACTGTTGTCTAAGCAATGTAGGTGTGTTCCTAACGTCAAAGATCATATCTATCAAAACAATGTGCGTGTGTGCGTTGGAGCACAGAATACATAGTTGGAGGAGTTTAATGTCGCGTTCCGAAACTCGCGTTTCTTTTGTATTAGTTTCGGCACGCGAGATAAAATGCATCAGTTTCCACGTCATTACATGTATTGCCGGAACATTGATGAAAATACGCTCTGTAGTAGCAAAGCTGTTGGGTCCTAGATAGCTCATTGGTTAGAGCAGTCCCTGGATCGCGAATGGGTTCGAGTCCCATTCCGGGGTACAGGTAGATGGATTCTTCCAGCATTTTTCCTTGAGAATGTTTATATATTTTTTTAATTCGAATAGTTTACTTTTATAATGCTGTTGTGTGTAATGTGTTTTTATGATCATAAAAATCTCTTTTTTCTATATTTAATACTATTACTATTAATACATTGCAATAATAATTATGATTCACATGATTAACAATAAAGCGATTACTTACTTTTAAATCCTTATATATGTTTTATTTAATTATTTTTTATTCACACCGCCCTATCACCAGGGTGACGGTTCTGTTCAGGAGAATTTTTTTAAATACGTAGGCAAAAAAACTGCCACATTACAAATCTTTTTGACAGGACGAAGTCTGTCGGGTCAGCTAGTACGTTATAAATAGAGAAATTAAAGAAACAAATATAGATTATATACTATTACTAGTAGTGATGGAATAAATTTCTGTGGCGTTCTACCTCCAAAACCAATTCCATAGCAATTTGCCACTATTTCATGACGCACTGATAAAAGGATAAGTCTATTGGTACTAGCAATCATATCGAAATTTCAATAAGACAAAAATTTAACAGAAAATTGGCATTACCACCAGTTGTTAAACGAACCAAAATTATTAAAATCGATCACTAGATTGTCACTTTATTTGTGAAGTTTAAAAATAAAACAACGAAAGTATACTTTGTAGAGGATATATTTCATAGAAACATACTCGCTCTTAGTTACGCTTACACGATAAATTGGAATAACAACCGCGTACACCGCGTACTCTGTGGACAAAATAAAAATTATTAATTAATTCACTTTACAAAAACAATCCTTAATAAAAAAAATACTTTAAAAATCCAGCAGCCTCAGGATTTTTCATTATGAATATTTTTCAGTCATTGGGATTGCAAAGCTAATCAAATGTAATAATTTATAGGATTGTTCAATTTCTCTGGGCCATATTTTAACTCAATTTTGATTACTAGAGAAATTGAATCAAAGTTTAACTTTCCACAGCAAATTTAAAGCTCACCTTTAGTATAAAATTAGTCAAAAAGACCGAAGCCCATGTCCTCATCTTCCGATTCAGACTCCTCCTTCTTGGTTTCCTTCTCCTCTGTAACACACAAATAGACACTCGTCAAATCGAGAGCGACATCACATTTTTTAAAATAATAATACCAACAATAATTCAGGCTACAAGTTTGACAGCATTAAGGGTCAGTCGAAAGATGGTGTAATTTAAAATCATCATAATCAAATTTTATCAATATCAATAGAGCTTCAACAAGGCAATAATGAAAATTGATACTTTCATTAACACCCACCAATCTGCACTTTCTATCTGTTCTTCTATTCCAGCCCATCACATTAGATTGACTGACTAAAGAATGCGAACCCATCTCACTAATTCAACAAGGTGGTGAGGTGTGTAATGGATAGTATAAACATTTTCACACTCAGAAGTGGACCACCGTCCACGATCATCAGTCACGGATATGACAGAGAAGAGAGGAAATAAAGTGGTATAGTTACCCTTCTTCTCCTCGGCGGCGGCAGCGGCGGGCGCGGCGCCGGCGGCGGCGGCGGGCGCGGCGCCTCCCGACGGCATCGACGACAACTTCTCGCGACCTGACGCACGCACACCACTATACTATACGCACTCACACCATCGTAAGGTAACTGACCACAGGAATCATCAGAGCTGATTTCACAGCAATACTGTTCAGTCGAAAGATGGTATAATTGGTAAATCATCATTGAAAATGTCATACTTCTCGATAGTTATCGACTTTTGAGAATTTAAAATACATTATATTAATTTGAATAATAGATAACATCACAACTTTGCTTGTGATGTATTTTATGCCTTTGTTTTCACAACTAAATTATTTGTTTTATGTTTTCTTTAATGATTATTTGTTTTTGTTTTATTGTTATTATATGTAATCTTAGCTAATTCATTTTATGAAAAATTAAACTATTAATGAAATGGTAGAATATGAAATATAGTTCAATTTTACACATTCCAACTCACTCCTTAGGTACACATACCTGCATGTCTGGTAAACACAATATGTCAAATATAAGTAATTGATTTTATTCTCTACCTAGAAAAATAAGTTTCAAATGGAGTTGAAAAATTTGACAGATTTGTATATTTTGACATGCTGCTACTGTACATAATTTAATAATGACCAAGTATCAGTGTACCACACTATACCTTGTGCGATCAGCTCATCGATGCTCTTTCCATCGAGTTCAGCGATGACCTTCTTCAGTTTCTCAGCATCAGCCTCGATGCCCACCGAGCTAAGGATCTTCTCGACATCAGCAGCAGCGGGGGCAGCCTTTCCGCCGAGCACAGCCAGTAAATACGCGGCCACGTAACGCATTCTGAAACATGACAATTGTATGCATTAGCTATAGTCTAAATGCAGTATTCTACATAAACTAGAATACAAAAAAAATATCCAAGAATCGAAAGATTGACAAATATTACATTAAAATAATGATCACTATTACTTCAATACGTAACCAATGTTTATTGTCAATTATTCTATATTATAAGTGAAACCCGCGTGAGAAACAAGATAGTTAGTTATATTTACAACAAATTTAGATTATATTGTTAATATAGGTTATTAATGCAAGCAAAATAAGCTTTTTAGTTACGGAACTTCAATTGAAGATTAAACGAGAAAGTAATTTAGACTAAGATAAATTTGAGGTTATAGTGATAGAAACTTGTTATTAGATAGTAAAAAAAAAGGTCTTTTCAAGACAAGACAAGACAATTTCGCCACTTATCAAAATGCAAGAAATAAATAAAACTTCTATTCCAGTGAATAAACGCAGATTTCAAACCATGTGAAAACAGTAAATGGAAACAATCATTTGTGCACCAATCGTGATAAGCACATTTTACATCCTAAGTTATCTCACCGAAACACACAAATATTTCTTCATATTTGGTTTACCACACAATTCGCTTTTACTATTTTGTCTAATCACACTAGTATTTTAAGGAAATTACTTACTTTTAAGTCTTAATGACACGAAACGTGTGAATGCCGTAAAATAAACGATCGACTTGAACAACTTGTCAAGTAGAAAGAAAGAAAAATGTCAATTGTCAAAGAGCCTCAAAACCAAATTGGCAGCTTGTGTTGCCATATTGCGAAATGGAAAAATTCCAAGATTAATTAATGTGATTTGAATGCGGCAATAAACTGACTGAACTAACTAAAATGCCATACACACGGTAATGATCGGCGTTCTAACCACCTACCATCTGATGGTTGACTAATTGTGTGGACGGCTGTTCGTCCAACTCCGACATGACCTTCAACGCCCTTGGTTAAAGCTTACTGTATCAAAGTGCTGCTACATAAGAATTTGGGATATCGCTATGGGTTAAAAATTGATTATATATGGTCAATCCTTTTTTTTCATGAAGTAAAATCCTATCCTATTAATATTATTAATGTGAAAGTTTCTTTGTTTGGATATTTGTCCGTCAACCACGCTGAAACTACTGAACAGATTTTGACGAAATGTGGTATACAGGGTAATAGCTGACTTAGATAATAGGATAATTTTTATTCCACTAAATACTTCGCTAGGTAACACGCGGGCGAAGCCGCTGGCGAAAAGCTAGAGTCAAATAAATTAGTTGTATCAGTGGACATTGGAAATTTCATTTCTTAATAGTGTGATGAGTGTACAATATATGTGTTCGGATTTTAAACGTTACATCACAATATTTGCACTATTTATGCTACAAAAAAAGATATAAATTTTTCATCAATTTAATAATCCATTTCGTCTTTCATTGAGGTTAATTACGAAGATTATTGATAGAGATCTATATAGTGAATGAATTAATACCACCATAGGATGCCATCCTTTATTTGAACAAAGTAAGTATTCCAATCAATACAAGAACTTAATTTAATTTTTGAAATATTTTTGAATGGATCAATACCTACACAAATTTTATTAAATATTTCAGTATTAATTTTATATATCTAAAAATATATACTAGAGACAATACTGTTCCTAGACTGATCCTTAAGAGCATAATACTCCATTATGAAAAAGTTCTCTAAAAGTCTAGATGTCCGTGAAAGTCACTTTTTGTTTTTGATGTATATTTTAAAAATTATAATTTAATTCTTTATATGCTTGTAGGAATTATTTTAGTGACTTTCTGTATGTTTGGACGAAACTTTCTATAAAAGAGGGAAAGAATGCTGTGTGTAAGATGAAAAGAGCAAATAGATCATTTGAAAATAGTCGGTTGTGTGAAAGCAAGACAACAGATCCTAAGATCCTAGGTGTAAGAGGGATGCAAAAAAAGTATTATGACCTAGACCTGGTCTTTCATTTACAGATTAAACCCAAAAATATTACTTTTTTCGGTTCTTGTTGTATTATTTGCTGTTATTTGTGATTAATTATTTTATTACTTTACTAAGTTTATCATAATATGTATTAGTTTCTTATTATACAGTGTTCATTCCCAATACCTATCTCATGTAAAAAAGCATCGCTATTTAAAAATCCATTTAAAAAGTATATTATTTTAAAAACGAAAGCGATGATTAATTCCATTTGGGCCTGTAGTGTCAGTCAAAAAATATTTTTCTGTTAAATATATCCATTATCCATTTACAAATATATCCATTTGTTAAATATACCCATTTTTCAATATTAATTTAAAATTATCTCGTAACGAAGATTTTTTATATAAATGAAATGCTTATGCCATTGCAGGTCTTTTCATTATAATATTTGACAAAAGTTCTGAAAACGATAAAAACTCGGTAAGCTAGTTTTGTTGCGCTCAGTTGTTAGTTTCACTTACAGCAAAAAAACTACATCAAGTCTTACTATTGGTTTTTTTTATATTATTTGTAATAAATGAATGAATAGGGTTTATTAGTCAGTAACAAAGGTTATAAAACTATAATAATAATAAAAAAATCCGTTTGTTATCTATATACTTACCCGATATGCATCAAATATACTAGGTACTCGTACACAATAAAATGTTTTCTGGCTAGAATGACGTTTGTGCAAAATACAAGTTAAGTTGTCCTTTCGAAATAAGAAATTCTAAACTAAGATCAGTTATTAAATCTTATATTCATAATTAAATTATCTTAATAAAAAAAATCACAACCATCAAGAAATGAACAGCTGCACAAACGTCCATTAATGTTTACGCCTTTAAGCTCTAATGAATGTCAAATTTGTAGGCGTAATGTCGTTTTAAACTAATCACTACGCTATGCTTTTTTTCTTCAATCCAAACCTAACATAATACCCAAACGTAACATAATAAATAACTTAAACTTTCGATTCAAATAAATTAAAATTAATTTGAAAGTTAGACATTGTAAGAAATACGAAACGATGTCATATTTATTAATATTCGATATTCAATTTAATTTTATTACGTCAGGAAGAAAAGTTGAATGAATATCATTACGCGAAATTCGCTAGTGACATCTAGTTTGAAATTAACTCTTGAAACTAATTATTATTTTTTAAATACTTACTCATTGTAAAAGTTGTCTTATTCGTAATTAATTTTTTTATGTGATCTCCCTTTGCATACCGCTTAAGTAGTTGTTTTGAAATTACCACCCTATTCTTTTTTAAATTACCTGTTATAGGGTGCAAGTCATCTTTTAAAATACGCGACATGGCTTGGCATGGCATCTTGGGAGATAGAGATGGTCATGAATTGCGACAGAATATAAGGCTATCTCCATCTCCCAAGGTAAAATCTTTTGCTTTCGGACAGGATTTCTCTTACTGCTTTAATCGCCTTTTTCGTATGAACACTACGTGGATGGCTATCTTTTTCTGTCACAAACAGAGTAGAGTTCATAGTATCTATCAATAGCCCGGTACACAAACATTTGACTAATACCAAGCGTACGGAGGGTTTTGAAAATTATGTTTAGCTTTATACCTACTTTATGTAATGCAATCATTTTTATAATGAATCGACTGGAAAACATAGAAAGACAATAAACAATCATATAAAATGACAAACTCGAAATGCAAAAGTAATATTTTGTTTATAATTAAATCTAATAATATTTTGCTAGACTAAAGCATAAAACCTAATAAATAATGCGGTATTAACTACCTCAACTAGAGAATTATTTCATTATGATGAATATTCTACCTATAATGTATAATAAAATAGAAAGTAATTTAGCAAAAATTTATGAGTCTAGCAACATTGATAAACAAATGTCATAGAGCGTTTCGTTCTACGCATTATACGTAATAGTGACAATATGTTAATCGAAATTTATGTTTTGTAAAGGCCTTAGAACAAGGAAATCAAACTTCAATCAAAATGGGTTAATATATTTTTGTTTAGAGTTATTAAAATCATTCACAGATTTATAATTGTTTGACCACGGGAAATATGTCGCGAAAGATTGTTTTTTTTTTTTTGTAGGAATTGTTCGATTACCTATATAATTTTGTTATTATAATATCTTTGTATGACCATAATTGGGTGAATGTGTCGATTAGAAAACCTTTCATTTATACGAGTATATTGTTTTATAACAATGTAGAATATAAATCCTTATATTTTCAAATATTAAAACAAATTGAATATTATTCTGCCTGACAGAACAAACTTTTTTCAATTTTTTTTTATAAAGATAATGAATTTTTTTTTACAAAGATAATGTAAAAACTCCTTTTTATTGTTCACTACCAAAACAGACACTTTGCCAGTTGCACAAACGTCTATTAATGAATGTCAAATTTGTATGAGTAATGTCGCTTTAATCTAATCACAATTTTAATGGACGTTTGTGCATCTGGCTGTAAGTCTGTTAGTTTGTTAGTGTTAGTTAGTTTTATATGAACCACTAACTACGTATTATAAATTTAAATATTGAAATTTTGTAAACACAGTTCGGTAGAGCTTGAAATTCTATACAAAACTGTATCATTAAATCATTTTCGCCAACAGTGGTAATTACGAGCTTTCTTCCCCGAGGTATCGATATTGTGGTAACTTGACTTGGATGTAACGACGTATCAGCTATTTTTTTCTAGCAGGAGCTCTGTTGAATCGCAATGTTTCATAAGAACCTCCTGGATTTTGAGCGCAAAACATTAAGTTGTGGGCAAAAGTGATTCATTATGTTATAAATCTCGGCCTTCCTCTCTATTTATTGCTGAAGATAAGACTTTCTCAAAGCTTGATAAATTTTGTTTCGCCCGATAACGCCCCTGTTATTAATGCCTCTAAATTAGTCTTGCACAAACGTATAAAATCTAAATTTCAAAAAAGCAAACGCTTCCCTAATTACTTCATTTGTATTTTTAAAACAGGAGAGTCATTCCTAAGAAGTAAGAAAGCAAGATAACGGAATGTGCTATGCTGTATTGTGTTAAATAATGTAGGTAGGTATAGGGCTGTCAACTATTTTATTCCCAGGCCATATCCTGGTTTCAGATATAGGTAGCTTTTAAGCAACGTTTATAAAACACTGATAATGGCATGTGCATCTTTATTCCCTATAACACTGCGCGGCGCATCTAGCTGTTTAATGTAGAAATAATTTTTATTTACTTCGTTAAAAAGTTATATCATATAATTTCATTCTACTATTGTGTCCTATTTAAAATTAAATTAGTTCTTCCAATTTTTAATCTTAGCTTACCAAATTTGTCGTTGGCAGCCCTCTATTATGTATCCACCGAGCTATTGTTTGCGACATTCTTTTTATTCTTAAAATCGCCTTAAAATCTGAGCAATGTATGTGATGTTGTCTAATATATTTTATTTATTAAAACTCTTAAATAAAACACTTTACAAGCAATAGGTTCTTTTTTCAACTTTACATTATCATACCTAATACATTATACTTTGAACACTCTTTCGTATACTGAATATAATAATAAACTTAATATAACTATTGCTAAAGTAATTTATTTTAACTATCGTAATACTTATTTTTTTTACTTATTATCTAGTTAAAGTTGATTTTAGTGATTATATTTTTACACAAGTTAACGGAGTATCAAAGGGTTCAAAATTATTTTCTAGGACATCATGGTTCATCTTGTAGCATAACACCTATTTGTAAAACAGTAATAAGTGAAAATGATAAAAATTCATATTTCGTGAGTGTAACGAGTGATTTTAAATACGCTTCTGTCGTTACACCCATGTTAATTTTGGGTTTGCATCGAAAAAAAAATTATAGGTTTATTTGGGTCACTCCCAGAATGAAGTATGTCCCATTTTTCTCGCTACTAGTACAAAGCAAAAAGGAATTTAAGTAAATATAATGATGAGATTTTTGTAGATAATTACGAACAAACGTAAGTATACATTCTTAACTTGTAGTGAGAAAAAATGTTGTCACCGATCTTACGCTAAGGAACTTGTCTCGGGAATCACCCATTTATGTATGTAGGTACATTAAATTCTAGACGGCTACAACGATACGGTGTCATCTTTTGCAGCATCGGCAAATACGTTTCAAAGCCCGTTTCAGTCCAGCGAAGTAATGGATCACTTGTTCCTGGAATAAAAAATTAATAGTGTTAAATTTGAAAAGGCAAAAATCCTGCCCATTTTTGATAGTGTACAAGTAATTTTCCCCATTTCTGTTCGTACAAGTTCCACTTCAATCTGTATATCCATGTATAAAATAATCTTGTCCAGTAGTTCGTTCATATAGATATACAGACTTGCAGGGGTATTAGAGCTGGTAAGTTTCCTGCTCATTCTTGTACTACCTTTCTTTTGATAACGCAGGGGAAATGCACCTTAAGCCTTAAACCAGGGTTCTCCGACCCCGCATCCGTCCTGAAAAGGACAGGCTTAAGCGAGGTCGGTCTACCTGGTAAAACTCGCTGTGAGTACCCTCCTCTAGACCCTACCCTACTACGGATTTCCATAATGCAAGTCCTAAAATTTACTCGATTGGAGATATGAGCAATGTACATATGTGGTATTGTTTTATATTTATTTATCTACGGGGAGATACGCGGAGCGGGGTACGACGTGTTGGACGTACCCTGCTCATACTCTGGCTGCAGTTTACTTAGATACGTAATAGGCGGTTGAGAGGGCACCTGCATGAGGTTGAAGCACATGGCGACGAGCGCCATCCCCAGCGTGAGGTACGCGGAGCACACGATGAAGGAGGTCTCGATGCGCGCGCTGTACACGCGCTCGCCGGGCACGAAGTCGCCGAAACCAATGCTACACATACAACCGGCTCTAATGGTAGTAACGACATTCACAAAAATAATGCCATTGACAGATCAATGCATTATAAATATATAAAGTCCCTTTACATTACAACACTAACAGCCAGTTGAACAAACGTCCATTAAAACATCATTAGTTTAAAGCGACATTACCAATACAATTTCGAAATCAATCTGAGCTTAAATATGCCATTAAACCTTAATGGACATTTGTGCAACTGACCGTAGGATCGTTAAAAAAGGACTATTATCCGACAATGATAACATAATAGGCAATAGAAGAAATCACCCATCTAATAACTGGAATACCTCAATAGCCATACAAGCTTTTATAATGAGATTTTTCTTGAGTATTTTTAAACTGACTGATATCTAATTGTTTCATTTTGCTTAGGACTTTATTGTAGGAGAATATTTATATTATTTTAATTTTCAATATAGCATCTAGTTACACTTAACTTACCTGCTCAGTGATATAAAGCAGAAATATGCTCCATCCAGCTGATCCCACTTTTCCCACATGCCAAATATCATGGACCCGAATATTATGTAACTGGGAAAAAATAAAAACGAAAATCATAATAAAAGCAATAGGTAATTGTTTACTTTAATTTTCCTATTTGAATTACAAAAACTTTATTCTTCTGGGTCACTTAGTTGACGGCCGGCGTATCGTAGTCCAAATTTGCATACGACTGCACCGTCGAGCTGCTCATTTTTGTTGATGTGATATAACAGAGGGTCTAGTACGAGTTTTAACATTAATAAAAGCATCCAGGCAAATCATTAAGGATCACAAAATTTCATACTAAATTTTAACACTGATTGCAAACATCCAATACAACAAAACGTTTTCAATTTATACTTTACTCCAGATTCTCGCGGTCGCTGATACGAGACAAAAGAAATTGTCTTAACATTTGAAAGTATTTTAGACAACTTACCCCACCATAATGAAGACACAAACGCTGATGGGTACAGTGATGGTCTGAGCGTCAAACGTCACGTAGCTGAACTCACTGGTCGCGGGACTTTCCTCTCTTCTGTACGGAGGATAGTATTCTTGTCTTCTTGGAATCGAATAGTCTTCTAGTCTACTGTTATAATTAGTAATGTTGCCTTCAGGTCTTCTGTAAGAGTTATCTGGTAGTCTATAGGGTAAGTAATTTTGTGCGCTCCTATGAGGTATGCTATGATGATCAGATCTTCTACAGGTGGTCATGGTATGGTTGTCTAATCTCCTGTTAGAAGGTTTTTGTTTTAAGTAGTAGTCTTCACTAAGGATATACGAACGCACAAACAGGATTGCTTTATAAATTTTCATTTAATAACGTGAAAAACTTTCGACTTATAAATTCTCTTATAAATAAAAAAAACTCTAATATGTAAATAAATCAAAGGTTTACTAACTATGAGTCCTGCGCAAATATTTTTTATAGTTTTTTACATTCTTTCTGAGTTTTCGAGTTCCGTACTTCAAAAGGAAAAATATGGAAACCCTCAAATAGAATAACTCGGTCGTCTGTCTGACTGTTCGTCCGTTTGACGTAACTGCGTGATCTAAAGGCGGCAGTGCATTTTAAATTAATTTGATGTTCAAATCTATTTGGCCTAAGATTTATCTACCTTAAACATCCGTCTTTGTTTTGGAGCAAATTAACTATATAATAAACTGATCATCATGAGTCATGAGCATGACAGACATGCGATCCTACGAGATATTGTTATGATGCATTATGTTACAAGGTTTCCTTTGACTTTATAAGGTACAGAAATACAATAAGACAAGTATAAAATACAAAGTGAGTTAATATCCGAATGTAAAATATATATTTATTTCAGATCGTATGTTTAAATCCAGGTACCATGACTTGGAACCATGACTTGGTTCAAAAATAGTAACACTTCTTAAAGTAGAAAACTTGTTAAAGTAGAAAAAATATAATACCTGGGTCCATAATTTGTTGGTAGTCTTTCAAGAGTGACGTCTGAATCAGAACATCGTGATCTCCAGACAACTGGACGCTCAATACTCTCTGGCTCACTGACTTCTATCTAAAACAATATCGATAAATGTTGCATTAATCTAATTAAAAATTAATAAAGGAAATATTTGTGTTAGGTAAATGTTAAGTCAATTTTCTGTTTAACTTGAACAATAATCCAAAGGCCTCAGAGATACTAACTATAGATAATGTTCATAGCACAAGATCAAAATGTTTCTGTGGGAGGTTTATTATGGTTATTGGTAATGTTGAGTAGCAAAATGCTATCGTATCATGTGACCGATCAACCGAATAAATATTGCTAACGCCGATTAAGCTCTTCAACGTTTATTTACTATATTTTGTTTGTTCTGTCTACTCCATGGTTCTTGTGATACCTGTGCATGCATCCTGGCGATGCGACGTCGAGTGAATCCAGGACATCCCCTGCAGAGGCACACCAATGCGTATAAGCACTTGAACCACCTTGCCAGTAACTCCCCTACACAAATAAATGGGCTATCATCAAACAAGTACATCAATTGAGATTGAAAGTCATATTATTGGACAAAATTAATTATTATTTATGAAAAATGCTTAAAAAATCCACTTTGTCCTTGAATTTTTCAAGGACTGGAAAAGATTTGAAGGAAGGATTTTTTGAGCATTTTTTTATTGAGATTATTTTTCAGTATAATACACTACAATATTAATTATTCAGAAAACATAACGAACTAAACATTAGTTATAGCTAGGCCCGAACTAACACGAAAAGTTTAATTTCTATATAAATCTAGCTTGGACTTGATCCCAAAATCATTAACATAAAATAAAATAAAATAACACCTTAAAATCGGTGTCCACGCCACTTGTTAGAGTAAAATTGCTAATTGCAGGACAAGGTAACTCAATTCCGAGGCTATCTTGAATATTTAAGACACATCAATCCTTGACGTATGACGCGTCCGATACAAAAGTGACAAAAGCGGCAGGTTGGAGTAAGATCTTAAGTAAATTAGCTGATAGAAGATTATATTAAATCGGATTTTCATCTTTCGCCTATTAAGAACGTTCTATTAAACTATAGGTACACATTAGCAGTTCAACTACCACAATAAATCAATTTGCATAGTAAATTTTGAACGATATCGTCAATGTATTAAAGTTTAAAATTAAATGGAGACCATTGTCAGATTTTTATAACCTGATGTGCTGTTGACTGTGCGAGTACTAATTTTGAAGTAACTGTTGGTAACGAAGTGGACTACAAAAGACGTACTTACTGAGTCCGTTTTCCAGTAAACAAAGTTTTCAGGTACGAGTCAGCCCAGTACGAACGCAGAGGAAATTCATTCGTAATGATGTAAAAGGAACTTTCTACATAGTTTACGTATGAGGCTAATATTTCAATAGAGAATTTAGTGAGATGCGAAACCCATTATATTAAAACTTAAAGCTTTTCGGTAGCGGATTTGCCCGCGGGATCTTGTATTGTACCTTTAAACCTTCCTCTTGATTCACTTTGTACAAAATACGTTATGTAGTTTAAAAGGTCGCACCGTACAGACAGCGAGAAGCGACCTCGTTTTATATTAATTAAGTATATAAGTATATACATAATAAACACAAATTCACACTACAATAGACACTAACACTAGAAATAAATCATAGTTACAGACAAAACACGAAGACAAACATTCTACTCCAGATTATATTGTAATACCACTCGTCATAGTAGTGTTTTAGAGAAAAGGATCGATGATCGAGAATGGAAACTTTATATTTAATGTTTATAACAAGTTTATTTCGGAACTTACCAACATTGCTGAGGTACAAAAGGAAAAGTGGCATTCCCAGCAGAGCGTAAAAGACCGTGGTCACCTTGCCCCAATTAGTCCGCGGTGAAAGATGTCCATAACCTGCAACAGAAATATGTAGTTAACGTTTATTGCTTAATGATAACTGGGAAGGATGAGGACTGTAAATGAACTTCAAATTTAAAAGAGAACAATCATGTAAATAAATACGCATGACCGCTTTCCAGGCAGTCGCCAACAAAAATTATTATTTTAGTTTTTAATACCTTTTTGCCTATGCCTGATCTATTATTGTATTGCATTAATCAATTTGTCGATCGCTCAATCCTTAAAGTGCCAAACAGCTAATGTCAGAATGGGAAACACTTAAGAAATAAATCTAGAATCGTCAACATAAATGTCAACAAAATGGTGAGTGAGGGATGAATTCTCACTTCCTTGATTCATCTAATCACATATGATTCACACTAAGTTCTAAAGCTAAAAATAATCACAAACACGACGTGATCTCCAGCTCTGGTTAGATTCACAGTACGATTCTTTCCTTACTCCTTCCAAAATGAATAACCCAACTTCCATGCAAATGGCGAGCATTTATTACCATGCCTTCAGCTATTCTACGCTCCTTTGCGGTTGCTAAGTGGTGTTGAAACTTTGGACCGAGCACAAGCTAGTTGTAATTCAAAAACTTCAAAATATTAGCCTGAGTTTAGGGAATACTTCAGGTTAAAGATTGAAATTCCAGTACAATAAGTAACTTATAAAACTTTGTAATAAAGTAATGTAAAGTAAAGCTTTTTTTTTAGGAAAAATTCTACAGTTGTTGGTACAAGCGATTAGGGAAATTCAATTACTAAAATTGAAACAGGATTTCTTGAACCGTTTTGAGGACATGGTATTGTATAAAATTTTATTTTATATAATTACACGGATTACTTTCATCCTTAAAGTAATTACTTAAGCGTTTGTTTTATGTAAATATTAAATGACAATAATTACAGAGAAAAATTAAAAAGGCTAAGGAACAGGTTGAGTGTCAAGCAAACAACAGAGAAAGTCGAGTTAATATTATAACTTTCTATTTAAATAGATTGACCTTATTTTTTAGGCAAGTGTATCAAATAAATTCTAATGGGATTATTTACACAGACAGATAACCGATGAGATTAAAACGCAGAGGTCTTCCGCACCCCGACATGCTAATCTCATCGGCCAGTGTAAATGAGACATGAGCATGTAAAATTTCAACGTTAGCCATCCAAATTTGACATTAGCGCTTAAAGGCGTCATTAAACCTCAATGGGCGTTTGAGCAACGGACCGCTAATTAATTGCTCTAAAATCTTGAATTAATTGATTCTGCCTGTTTTTAAATCACGATCTTTTAAATTAAACAATCTTCAAAATTACATTTAAGTTCATGATTTTTCCAATTCTTAGCCATTTAAAAAAAAACATTAATTAAGTTCATTGGTAACACATGATAAATTAGTTTTCTAAACCTTTTTTTAAATACTAAAATAAGTTTATGTAAACAAAAAAAATCTTTAATTTTAAATTATACAATGACAATACCAATGGTGGTGATGACTGTAAGTGAGTAGAGGAAGGCGGATGAGAAGCTCCACTGCCTAGAGGAGCGGCCGCCGTCCCAGCCGCGCCGCGCCGCGGACACCACCTTCCCCTGGTACTTGTGGAGCTCCACGCTGATCCTGCAGACAAACATCGACCATATTCTGACGACCTCTGTGGCCGAGTGGTTCGCATGTCGGTCTCAAGTTGGCGCCATAGAAAGTAAATTAAACTCTAGTAATGAAGTATCATACGTAATTTACTTGTTCGATATTTTCGATTCAGTATGATTCTCTGTTGGTCATTTTTTTATTTTATTTTGATGTATTTTTAACCGATTTCAAAATCGAAAAGTAGGAGGTTATATGTTCGACGGCAATCTGTCTTTTTTATTTATGTTCATCGATATTTTAGGTGGTTCCATTAAAATTTTATCCGAATCGAACAAGTAGTTTTTCTTTTATAACAAAATAAAATACGCTTTTCAATAGATGTTATCTAAATATTAAAAATAAATGTTATGACATGAACCATTTCAGCTAAAAAACAAAAGATTCAAGAAGAAATCGATGAACATACCTACTTATACAAACTTTATTCGTCGATACCTATAGTAGGTGACTATCATAAAAAAATATACATCAAAGATAATGTATATGTGGTATAATCAGGCGACCAATTGGGCGACTAGCCCTTTAACTGCATGGCGCCATTCAATTTAATTGAAAAAAGTCATAAATAATGCTTAATTTAAGACTTCTTTCCAAATTACTGAGCCGAAGTCTAAAATAAACCTAACAAGAGACGATTACAGGATTATATATCTAACAGTATTCGAGAATTAGACAATCGGTTTACAAAACAAAGATTTATTGAATCAATGTGAAAGCTAAAGGTGAATTTGTTTTCAATTGTGATTCCTAAGTTTTTTGATTTCTTCTGAGCTAATTATGCACCGTCTCCAATGAAAAATCGGCTCTTATATTTTTATACTTTTGAAAGAGTACATACGCATAAACGGTGTCGGTATTCAGCGTAGTAGCATTTCTCATAAAATTCTCACTTCGAATAAAGCTTTATTTCTTAAAATGATTGAATCGTAGCGAACATTTTTTATTGAAACATATTTCTCATTTACAATGAAAATATTTCACGATGCAGTTAGTATATTCATTGGTGAAAATTCTTAGCGTAAACTAGACTGAATTTATTTTAAGTGCTGACAAATAGTGTTTTCAATTTTGTAAAGCTGTAAACAACTTTAATAACCAGAAGCAAACTTTATATTAGAGTATACCTACAGGAGTATCTTAATTTTTTTATGACAAGAACGTAAAGAAAATGCAGCCATAACCAACAGCAGAGGTTTAGTAAATTTTTGGTCGCCCATCCTATGATGGGCACTTGCGAAAGTTGTTAACCTTCGCATCGCAGACCGAACGCACTGATTATATATATGTAGTTATTACCACTTACTATCTGGCGACAGTTTGGCAGCGTTCTTGGTACGAAATGTAATTACTTATGGATGTTCAATAAATCTGAACCAATATCAAGTCACCTTTTTATTAGATTTGTTCATTTTGCATTCACAATGCTATACAGAAAAATATTCTTAATAGAAAATGCTTAAAAATCCACTTTGTTCCTGGCACTCTGAGATGGGACTCGGAACCATGACCTCTCGCAATCCGGGCGACTGCTCTCTCACTCTGCTCTCAGTGTCAGGGACACAGTGGATTTTTTTAGCATTCTTCATTGAGTATAGGTCACCTTTTCTTCAGTTCAGTTTCGTTGAACAGATTGAGCGTCAGCGTGACGTTGTGCCACAGGTACTGCGCAGTGTTGTCCCTCTCGCGCGTCATGTTGTTCTCACGTTCCATCTGGGCCGCACCTTCTATCGCTTGGAACATGAAGGCGCCTGAAAAACAAAACACTATTTCTGTTAAACTACTTATATGAATGATGACGGAGAATCTGATAGAATTGTCGGATTTATTCTCTGAAGAATCCATTACAAAATTAAAATTAACTGGCACAAATATATTTCATTGATGATGTAGAGGCTGTTTAGCTGATCGATTTACGGCTGGACCAAAATAGGAAATCCTTTCTTGGTATTTTGTCTTGGTCCTGGGTGGTACCTTCATTGCTCTCAATAACAAATTCTTGGACTTAACTGTTTCTCATCTGAGCAATATACCTATATTTGATATTGCCTTAAACATATACGAGTATATTTTAGCACGTAAACCATATACATACTTATCAAAACAACAAAATTATTGTATTTCTTTCTCAAATTTAACAACCTATACCTACTGTGACTAAACTTTTAGAGCGTCAGGACCTATCTAATACAAGAAAGTGTCATCATAATTTCGTTTTGCAACACAATATAATGGACAAAAGCAAAATTATATCGGCTTATACTTTCAGCACCTCCCGTCACATTGGCCATGATCGCAGTGGAAACAATTTATCAATGACAAAGACGAAACGTTAAATTACGGGGACGAACGCGTAGACTCATTAATTTATTATGAAAATGAGCGATGCGATGGAGGTTTTTTCTTTTGTATTTAAAGCTTGTCCAACATGACCGAAATTAAACCAAAAGGCGATTGATTGCCGTTCGTTGTTAAAATTATTAAAAAATTTAACAAAAATACGAGAAAAGGTTGTAATGTATTGATGATGAAAGTGATGAATGATAATGAATGATGAATGATGTATTAGTCAGAAAGATGTAGATTAACAAAACAATTACAGATTTGATCAAAATGCATTTACAATTATGTCAGTTGCTCTAATCTAACGCTATGATAAAACCATAGACAATTTTGTTTAGATCAAATTAAGTTTAAATTTTGAGATAAATATATTCTTATATCCTACTTTTTGTCCCTTTAGCAGGCACGTAGTTGCCGTTAATTTTTGGTTAATTTTACGACATCGATTTTTGGTTTTACGCATCGAGCAAACGACCAGAGTAAATAGAGAATCTATTACAATGCTTTCTTTGAAGCCTGAGTACTAAGGGGCAGATGTAAATAGGAGCTGCTGTAAGGTCATCCTTAATAAACTAAAGCGGACTTTACATAGGCATAGCCCTCCCCGGATTCCTATTATGGGAGTGATTATATTCGTCACATCCCGATGTCGAGTATTTGCTCGACATTTTGACTTTTGTATGAAAATTTGTATCCAGCCAAATTCGATAAAGAATAAATGTAAAACTCGTATTTCTCACCAGGATACTACATTTTACTTTGTAATTTTAGGAGTTATATTTTTCACTGCTATAAATTATCAGACACTCATAAAACTTCAATATTTTGACAAAAAAATGGAAAATAGTAATAAAGCTGAAATTATTTTAACTTGACAGCCCTATAACTTATAGAGTTCAGATATTAGAAACATGTTTGCAGTTTTAAACTAACTTTATAAATAAAAAGTTGTCAATTATTATAAAACGTGTTCCTTTAGATTTATTAAATTTGTAACAGATCCCATAATGTAAGTTGAGACCGTGACGGCATTTCTTTCTACTGTTTAAAACAACAAAAAGTTTTTTTTATTTCAAATAATAACGCGTCTAAAGCATTTATAGCATTGTGAATTGATTGCATTATATATAAATAGCAAATCTATGAAGTATTAGTATATTTATAATTAAAACAATTGGTTTTTCACTGATTTTTGTTTATACGTTACATGTAATCTTAAGACATTGCACAATAAATTACAAAAATTCGGTAATTTTAAAAATACTAATAAGTACATAATTTTATTTAAATTGTTTAGAATATTTGATAAAGTAGTATATCGAAATCGAAAATAAATATAATGTTGTCTAGTTAAGAAAGGTTATTAATCTGCCTGTCACTGGTTGCTAAGCAACGCTTTGTTAGTAAACATTCTTCATCGAATTCGGCTGTTGTATAAGTACCCGTAGTAACTAAGTGTCTTGTCGTTGGTTATTGTAGTATTGGTGTAATACGATTATGGGGTTGAAAGTGGGCTTTATGTATGAAAAATTTAATCGGTCATGTTCGCCTCCACTCAGACTGAGCTTGAAAATAAATTACTCAGAATAATAATCTCTTCTGAGGAACATGCCATTGAATCCGCCGCTTTGATGTCGGATGAAAGGGATAGGTCACACGGTCGGCGATAAATTGATGTCATTTTATAGGATACAATAAATTAAGTTTTCATGTCGGTTTCGTAATTGGATTATTGTCTTTGAGGTCGTAAATGAAAGACAATAATCCAATTACGAAAACGAATTTTTGAAGCCAAATGGATAAAATATTCAGATGAATGATAATAATAACGTAACTACACTTACGAGGGTCAAACTGAAAGTTCTTAGAAAATAAAAAACTGATTACATTAGCCAGTTATTAGTTTTATTATATCTTTTCAAAATATTGTCCATTCACGTCAATACACCGCTGCATGCGATGGAACCACTGGGAAAAGCACTTTGCCCACTCGTCCTTAGGGGTCTCTTCAATGGTATCGCGATACGCAGCCACCGCTTCTTCAGCATTCATAGACCGCTTTCCTTTAAGTTTTTCTTTAATTTTTGGAAATAAATAAAAATCACAAGGCGCGAGGTCGGGGCTATACGGCGGGTGACCCAGTAATTCAACGTTTGATGTCGCCAAATAGTCGATCGTTCGCTTGGCGGTGTGCGACGAGGCGTTGTCGTGGTGAAGGAGGATCCTACTGCGAGGTCGTTTCTCTCGAACTTTTTCCAAGACAAGTGGCAAACAATTGGTAGTGTACCATTCTGCAGAAACTGTTTTTTGATCCTCTAACACAATTGTTGCAAAATGACCTATCCTTCCAAAGAACGAGGCCACCATTTTTTTTCCCGCACTTCGATCTCTCTTCACTTTAGTTGGCAACTCCTCGAAAGGAAACACCCACTGAGCAGATTGTCTTTTGGTTTTAGGATCATAACAGTAAATCCAGCTTTCGTCACCTGTTAGTATGTCGAACACAGCATTTGAGTCACCTCCGTTAAATCTTTCAATCATTTTACGACACCAATCCACACGATGGAGTTTTTGAGCCTCAGTCAAATTATGAGGTATCCACCGGGCGCAAAGCTTCCTGACCGCTAAATGTTCGTGGAGGATTTTGTGCACTTGACTCATACCGATGCCTAAGCTTGTCCGAATCTGTTGATAGGTCACTCTTTTGTCAGTCTCTATCATACGCCGCACAACACAGATGTTATCTTCAGTCGTCGCCGTAGAAGGCCGTCCCTCACGTAAATCATCAGTGAGATTAGTGCGACCACGTTTAAACTCATTAAACCAGTTGTAAACAGTCGCACGAGATGGGGCTTCATCGTGAAAGGCCAATCGTAGTCTATCATAACTTTCTTGTTGACTTAAATGACATCGAAAGTCATAAAAAATCATTGCACGAAAATTTTCTCGTGTTAAATTCATGATGACGTGACACAGACAATTTTCAATTTGCCGCCAAATCGTAAAACAAATGACAAATGAATGAAATATATACTCAGTAATATTGGCAAAGAGTTATATTTTCAAATTTTAGAATTATTTTTTTATTATATTGTTTATAAGTGGCCAGTTCTAAGAACTTTCAGTTTGACCCTCGTATAAAGATGTTATTTAAAGGGAATTTGCAAAAAGTAAAGTAAATATCACTTCATAAAAACATTTTGAATTTTTAACAATTAAATAAATCTAAAGCGTTGAGCTTAAACGATAGAGATTTTTTATATTTTATTTCAATTAGTTTCACTTTTTCATAGATTGCGTTTGATAATATATTGAATTTTTTATTACGAACCTCCTGATTTCAAATAGAAATTACAATACTCCTACTGTTATATTTTTATGAATTGAATTTTTTATATAATTTATTTCATGTTAAAATTTTAAAATGAGTATTCAAGCGGCTAAAAAGTAACGGATCTAACTGAACTGAACACAAGATCGAGTATTTTGTGAAAACAGAAATACTTTAAATAATCGCTACGACAGAAAAATGTAAAACCGTATTCTATTACTAAATATTATTAAAATTGAGCTTCTCAATAATTAATTAGTATAATGGTGAACACTGTACAACTTAATAATAAACCTTTCAAATAAAATAAGACAAGAAATAAGCTTCATTGTAAACTAACCTTAACCTACGCTCACGTCGTTCGTGAAATAACAAAGCTTTTAAACATCATTTAGCCGTAAAAAGCGCGTCCAAGTGAAACGTTCATTCGATAATGTGACATCCGAGATATTTCATGATTTACGAGCTTATAATAATATATCAAATATTGAAATCATTGTTATGAAGCAGTGAAGAGATGGATCGGTGCATCTCTGACGGAAACTCGATAAAAATGAAGCGCCGTAATTATTTACGCGCATAATTCCAAAACAATTGTATCAAATCAGATAACACGTTTTTGTTGTGTTTGTTATTAGCATCCCTGCGATTTTGTAAAGATCCGAAGCCGAATAACCCGGAAAACGTTTCGTGGCATAAGTGAAGTGAGTTTCGAAATGACATAGGAATATAATATCTGAGACACGTATAAATCGACTCGGGTTCGGATTTTTACAGAATTACTCTGCAGGAGTTAATTGAAAATTTTATAAAAATTGCACCTACACCACACGTGTGAAACCAGCGCAGGTAGCTCATCCTTTATGTTAAATTAGCACACCCGATGGATGCTCCGTCAGTACGGATATGCTGGACGGATCTTCCGTCCGAGGTGACCCGATTCCATGATTTATATTTAAAAAATCCATCTATTAATAATTATTGCTAAACAAATAGATATTTATAGTTAAATGACCTATTATTGATTTTGTCACATTTCCTCCTCGATCACGGACTCAGTACGTGATCATTATATGAAATCCGTACCTATGACTTACCGGCTATAGTATAGAGGACGACCAGCACAATGACGCCCACGTTGCTGAACAGGAAAGCGAGCATCTGCCGCGCGCAGTCTCGTACTCGCGCCGCAAGCCTGCGTTTGCGGCGCGGCATCGTGCGAGCGGTGCGGCACGATCATGCGGCATCATGCTGTCGCATACGGTGTCGTTGTCTTGACGCGATCGTCGCACTCTTCACACCATATTAACATTCTGAGAAAAATAAATAACTAAATTAGAATCATAGTTTTGCTACAAACAAACTTATTGTAACTACAGGTGCAATAAGTAGCTACTTAGTGGACAGTGGTACGGGTATAGAATGTGAGAGAGCCCGAAAGAGGGTAGATCGATATAATGAGTCAGTTTCAACAACTGAGATTTTTTTCTAATTTCCATGAACTTTTTTCTTTTTAGGGTTTTGACATTTTTTTTCTGTCGAAGCTCATAACATTTAAAGAATTATTTGGCCACCGAAATTGGCCAACACAGAAATTGATTTTCGACGTTGAAATTGTAATGACGCCACGGAAATTGTGTAACTCCACAGTTAAATAAAAAATAAAAACGCAAACTAATAATAAGAAATTAGGCCTTAGAATGACTCGCTCCGATCCAATCACATTTGTGTCAGTAAGTTATAACATGATAGGATGTACTGGTGCTGCATAGAATCGTCGCAGATCTCCGACTAGGAGTTTCCCAATGAAGGATCACGCTGTAGTCCTTGCTGCATAAATAACAATGCCATGCATGATTTCAATGTTTATCCATTATAGCGAGAGTTGGGTTTGTAGTTGTCAGAAATACAGTTAAGACGCATTCGTTACGCAGAATTTGTGGACTAACCTTCATAGTCTATTTCAAATAGTGTCAAGCCAGAAAGAGACTAGATAAGTAATGTCGGTGAAAAAGTTAATATCTGTTTAGGTTTCTCACCGAAATCATTTATTTGGTATCAGGCTCAACTTAAATCAGGCATTCGATTTTGTACGGAATCAGATCGTAGCGAGATGACCCACAACATAAAGTAAAGTTCCTCTTCGTGTTAGTGCGACTACTGTGTCAGTTGATCCGGACAGGGATTCATTGTCTTGTGTGAAACTTAGCAGTCGATAGGATGGGAATGGTGAAACATAACGATAAGCCATATTAAAGATCATGGCACTTGTCGCATCCCGATGCAGAAGTATCTTAGAGATTTAGCGTCAAAACATAGGATAGAATCTACGTAAGCTATGAGACCAAGTACTGTAAGTTCTGGAATATTTATCATTTCTCTTCACACTACTAACATGCCTTTCAGTATTAATCATAATATCTGATTGGTGACATGTTGTCTGTGAGAACTTCGCATATTTCCGTGCATACCCGAAAGTCACGGAATCCTCTGGACAGTGCCATATGCGAAGTAAATGTAGCTTTTAAAAAAGTTATACATTTTTTTTTCTTGAAAACTGATAGTCTTACGAATATAATTGAAGTGGCTTTGTTTAGATAAGTGTTTCTTTTATTTTGAGAAATGATTATCTCTAAAGTAAAACGGCTGTTTCACTTTGGACACATAAAATTTGCGCCTGAGCAATTCACACATATCTGCCAGTAATATCCATCGACATGACTTCAATTATTCCATGATCATGGCGCATGTAACTGCGCCTATATATTAAGGAGTCAATAAATATTAGGTAAAATCCTGTAAATTTCTGTAGTATCAAGTGTGAGTCAGGGTACGAACTCCTACTTAAAATGGTGCAGTACTTTAAAGAAGATGTTAACCAAAACATAATATATGACGCCGCGATCAAGATTTTGTATAGTGTATACTTCCTCGTGTGCGCTCAATCTCAGATAGAGCATAAAAATGTATGGTCTCAACTCTGTTAGCGCATTTTTGCACTACACTGAATTTTCACGTCCGATTTTTCCGGTCCGGAATAGCATGAAAAACCCGGATGAGTAGCTTACGCACTTGTCCGTTTTTTTCCGGATTGGATCGGCACAGTTTAGGGCAGCTCTCTTTGACGCTACACGTCACTTACGCTAGGTACGATGAAATTTTTGGAATGTCAGTTATTGCTTGCTTAATTAATCTACGTGCGAAGACGTAGAAGTCAGAAAAAATATTGCGCCCTTTATAAGTGAAAGGTACCTAAATAATAACCTGACAGATTCATTTTATTTGACAAGGACCTGAAAATTCAGTGTAGTGCACAAACGCCCTTAGGGTTGTGGGCATGCCTGTTCTTACAACCCCATCGAGCTTGATTTCGTTTCTTCTATCAAACAAAATTTCCGGTTCAAACGAACGAACTTATTTAATTATATAATATTTTTAGAAAAATATTATATGATTATAATAAAAAGAAATCAATACATGGATATAATATATATGTTAAGAAAATAATGATCCTCATTGTCAATGCAAAATTGATCAAAAATAATAAATATAAATCCCTTAAATATCATAGGATCTTAAACATCGAATTATTTATAACAAAGTGCCAAATTAGTAAAACGACGTAATGTACTTAAAGATTGACAGACGAGAAATGGAGGGGTTTCTATTTTGAAAAGCATTCGAGTTTATTCGCTGCGACCTGCCGAAATCACTCTGCTAATTATTATAGTGTGCCCGGATATTCCCTGACAACTGTCACGGACGGCTACCAGAATCGACAAAACAATAATTTCCTAACACTAATCAAAGAGCAACTGACAGGCTGACTGACGGTTCTATATCGAGCTATCCCCATTACCAAACGCGTGGTGTTACAACTAGCGGTTTTAAGCCGACTTCAAAATCCGAAAGGTTATATGTTCAATGGCGTGTATGTTTTTTATTTTTTAAGTATGTTCACCGACATTTCCGCCAATTGTTGACAGTTTTCAAAATTCTCTTTTTATTCGACAGCTCGATAAAATTTAAATAAAACCACCGCGGGTTTCTTAAACTTTACCGAAATCGAATCAGTAGTTTTTCTTTTATAACAAAACAAAATACGCTTTGCCACCATATGTCACCTAAATATTAAGATGGTATATTTTTTTTATGTGATAAGGGGCAGACGAGCAGACGGATCACCTGATGGTAAGTGATTACCGTCGCCCACGGACACCTGCAACACCAGAGGGGTTACAAGCGCGCTGCCGGCCTTTGAGGGACGAATATGATCATAGGGAGGGAAGGGAATAGGGAGGGGATGGGCTTCCGGTACCCTCACTCACACGAAGAAACACAACGCAAGCGTTGCTTCACGTCGGTTTTCTGTGAGGCCGTGGTATCACTCTGGTCGAGCCGGCCCATTCATGCCGAAGCGTCCATTCACGGGAGATATGTTTTGTATTTAATGTATTTCAGCTAAATAACAAAAGATTGTGTATTTTGAATTCAAAATTCCAAAGGAGGATTTTCTGTGTTCTATTTTTTAGTTTTTATTTGTAATAGAATTAATCTGAGACTGCAGGGAAAAGTAGAGTATTGAAAATTAAAGCCTATGCAGTGTTAATAATATACTATAAAGTAATATCAGTTATAAAAATGTATATAAATTTTATAACTTTTGATTATTATTATCATATTTATGGCCTCAACTGATTAATATCAATTAATATCACTTTAAAATTATGCAAAAAACAGGCAAAAAGATACTTTATGCCAACATATAACGTTTACCAAAAATTAAGGAAATGTACTATTATGCTGAAAACAATTATGACAAAAGATTACGATAAAGTATAATATGAAAAAGAATATAAGGCAAAAAAAGGGATCGCTGTAAACTTTCACATTTATTAACCTACTTCAAAATAGAAAATGAGGAGGCTCATATCTATTTTCGACGGCGATGCATGTCCTTTTTATGTGGTTTTCTGTGGGTAATTATTTAATGATAGGCGCCTGACTTCCATAGACGCTTTCTTGTATAAGTCGCTTTTGAGATAAGTGTTATTTATCCCCATTTTAAATTTTGATCTCGGTTCTATTTTTTGGAAAAGTGTTTATTTCTAAGCAGTCGCTACTCGCTGCATCCATTATTCACCATCCATTCTCCATCCATTATCCACCTGATTTCCACTACACGATACAAAGAGACAAAATTACATAAACAAATGAAAGATCTCGCCTTCTGTTTGGGCAGCGTGTGTCAACTGACTTCAAGTGCCGTCGACGTTGCTTTCCGTCGGCATTGGACGTCTTCACTTCCTTTCGATTATTTGGCAACTGAATTTGCTTTCTCAATACGATCGTTGATTCATAAGATTTATTCATGCAAGCTGGCTACATTATTTTTACAAAAAAATATCTGTGTGATTATACAATTATTTCAAAGAAATGTACATTACTTTCTGAACTCCTTTGAAATTATTTTAAAACTGCGATATTCAGCTCATTTTTGTAATTTTGCAGGTGATTTTTCAAATAGTATTCAGTTAAAACTTAATTGTTAACTAAATTATAACAATTAAGTTGGTAATAACGTAATAAGATAAGCGCACTACTGCCATTAAGCTAATACATTATAACTTTCCTTTTCCCTTGTTTCACGCGTCTGTTCTTCTTGTCATACAAAATGAGTAAAACATGTCGGAATATTCAAAAGTGCTTTTAATAAGCTTATTTTAATTTTAGGAGATTGCTATATAAGGAGATAAAACGATCCACTGTATACGAGGTAGTTTTACTCCCGAGTTTCAGTGAGGGAACAAATGGAAACGGACATTAGTTTTAAGCGCGGTTAAACTATTCTTTTCATTTCCCTTGTAAAAAGAAAACAAAATAATTACGGTCACCAATTCAATATTTATAATATATGCACAAATACTTTCCCTATATATTATACTACTCTTTGACAAATACCAATTAGTGGATAAGTATTTTTTGCTCTAAGGAAAAGATTTTTTTTTTAATTATATGTCTGTGTCTAACGAGCATACAGAAAAGTCTTTACTCTTTTATAAGTGAAATACTCATGAGTATGTAAACAATAGACTAGGCCTCGCGTGGTACCTTCTTGTTTTTTGTCACCGTGCTTGACAATCTTTGCGAGTGGTGCTATTACTTAAGAGGCATTTAGGAAGGAACTACGGATCATATTTTATTTAATTGTCCAAATTTTTCCATTTCGCTTTATGATTTGCTACCATCGAAAGTTCCACGTCCAACAAATATGAAATGTATCTTGAGTATGGAGAAACCCAACCCATTCAAA